ACAATATATTTTGGTTAGTATTATACCTGGAACACTAGCTAGTTGCTGAAGTGTTTCCATTCTAACATCCTGTTTTCAGTTGCTCCATAACTTTCCAAAGCATTCACCTTTGGGGCTGAAATTTTTCGTGTTTTTGTCCCTTTGCATACCAGTGTCCACTTCATGTGGCATACATATAGGGGTTGTAGTTGTTTGATGATACCCCATATGGGTTGCAGTGTGGGGACGTAGGGGTCAGCTAGGTGTATGCAGTTGGAGGGGATTTTATTTCTGGATTGAGTCAGGTTCAGGGCATTTGGGTGGCCTGTTCTATGATGCGATCTACTTCTCTAGTGGAGTGTCCTTGCTCGGTGAAGATGGTTTTGAGTGTGTTAAATAAAAGGTCCAATAAAAGATATTAGCTCACCCACCTTGTCTTTCTAATGGGACCAACACAACTACAACAACACTGGATAAAACTAATTTATGATGGCTAGAATAGTTTCTTATGGACCTTCCTGCTGGCTGGAGGTCAGCAAAATGTATAACAACACTCTAGCCCCACTCTGAAACACCTCCTCTGGGGCCCAAATGCCCCCAAGATGCCATTGGAGAAAGGGGCCCAGATATGCCAACTTTACACCAGCCAGGATTTCTCCATATTGGGGGAATTTTCCCTTGCCCTTTTAGGGCTGTTTTAAGGCCACTTTGTGCAGTGACGTTTGTGGGGTCCAGGATTCAGCAACAACGTTTAGCCTGAATAGGACCCCCAAATAGTTAGACAAATCTAAAAGAACAAAAAAGATCCAAAATTGTCCACTGTCTGTCACAAGGTAACAAACTGCAAGCAGGAAATCTAAAATATAGCAAGAATTCCATAGAGTTGGACCTGCACATTGCTCCTTTATTAAACTTATTTGCAAAAAAAAGTGTTTAATGAGAATATACTACTTCAGGGGAAAGAAACCCTAATTAGAAACAACAACTTTTATTGATCTTATTGTTTTATTTGTTCCAAGTTTGGGTGAATTTGTGCTTTGTTTATCATTGTTTTGAAGCACTTGGAATGCCTGTAGCATATAGATAGATTATAACTCAAATTGAGGGGTTAAAGCAAGAGAGACACTACAGAGTCATAGGTTGGCATATGCTTTTACAATGTTGTTTTATAAGAGTTGATATATAACCTGTGGCATTAGGATTATTTCTTTCCAGTTTTGTTTTTAAAGAGTTTAGAGTTCCTCTCTGCCAATGGCATTCTATAGGCTTCATACAGTTTATACATATTAACAAGACTAAAAGACAAAACAAATTAAAAAGACTAACTCTGACTGATCTTGTTTTATCACTTTTAAGCCTGTAAGAAGTTTAGTCTTTTTAATTAGTGTTTCTCATGAAGAAGTACATTCTCATTAGACTTTTCTTCTTCAAATACAGCTCAGTAAGGGAACAATGTGCTAAACTAACGCTGAGGAATTCGTGTTATGCTTTAGATTTTGTGCTTGTGGTTTGCTACCTTCTGACAGAAAGTGGACGATCCTAGATTCCCCTTACATTCTATTGGAATCTTTAGTATAATTATAATAGGGTCCTAAGACTTAAGTAGTCAGAAGTCAAAAAGGGATGTGTGGGGAAAAAGAACTGGGTGGCCTTCTTTATGCCAGCCAAAGTAACACCGAAGGCCCAAAATCAGGCCCTCTGACAGAGGCTCGATCTACTGACTGCCCTTACAAAAGGCAGTACAGGCCAGGGCCTGAACAAGACTAAGCTGTACAATTCCCTGTCAAATTCGGTCAAGGGTTATGACCAGAGGAGGGAGGGGGAGGGAGCAATGCGGAATGCCTCAGCAACATAATAACCGCTTGTTTATGAAATATAATAACCGCTTACATGAAGAAATTGCTTCTAGTAAAGGCCAACTTCTCCTGTAGTTCCAGCTAACTGCCAAACTAGCCAATCATATATCTTCTTTGGGAGTCCTGTAATAAACCGCTATGCCCTTAAAGGTAAAACCCCAGAAAAATAATATGTATCTTACCGAGAAAAACATCCCAACTGGTGCCAAGTACCACCCAAAGCGGAAACCACCAAGAAACTCCCCACCCAATATACACCCAATTCTCGTAAAATGATTAGGAAGGTATTGGGAAAAGGGGACAGACCCCAACTCTTATTTCTTGCAAATGACGTATTATTTGTACTATGCTTGCGGTTTGTACAAATAAGCCTGCGTGCTGTGCTAGGTGTGGTAGTTTTCGGACTGCTACCCCAACGCGTTGGTATGTATTGCAATAAACTGGCCTCAGGCTTGAGTCTGTGAACTAAAATCAATGCGTGGGTGACTTTTTCCACGACAGATGGTATGCTCTTGGTTCCTCATTGGAGTGTCTCAGTTAAGCTGTGTTCACTGGTGCTGTTCTTTCTCACCTCATGTTTTGGTGCGGAAATCAGGGTCTCAACCTAGTCTTTGCCGTTAAAGACCCAGTGGCAGCATCCAGGGATTGAGGGAGTAAAGGAGCAGAAGATGGCAAAGGAAGTCAGGGGGGAGCATGCACAGTAGAAGTAAAATGGAGGCATGAGATATTGAGTGAGGAGTGGAAGCAGGAGCAGCAGAATGGGGCTGAATTTAGTCTTCCAATCCAGCACTTTTCCAGAAATGCCTATTTAACCACTAGTCATGTTCCTCTGTAAATCAGCTTTATTAGGAAGAGGTTTTGTTTCTTGAAAAAAGTCAGAAGATGGTCAGTAGAAGTAATTTTCAGGGCATGACATTCTGTCAGTGTAATGGGGCAATTGGCCCTTTAAGGAGAGTCAAGGCCTAGCTTACCCATGGCGGCCCTCTAAAAACCATCTGGGAGTAATTGGTTTCCCTAGGTAGGTGTTTAATGTTCAATTAGTAGAGGAGCATCTGCACCCTAGAAAACAGGCTGCCTGAGCTCAGTCAGTGAGTGTGCTCAGGAGGAAGGTGCTCTGAGGAGAAAGGGCTTATAAGGGGAATGCAACCCCAAGAGAGAACAGGAATAACGTAAAGGGAGAAACTGGGAAGGATCCAGAGAGAGAGACTGTTCCCCCGGTGAAGGGAGTAGGAATATCCTGAAAGAAGGAGCTAGAGACTTTCCAGGGGAAGAGAAGAGCGGTTCTGAAGGAAGGAACCAGAAATTTGCTCTCCAAAGAGAGTTGTACTGATGCTGGGATGATGAATGTCGCGGGGAGTACCAGAGTAAGTCCTTGCTTATGTTTATATAAATTTCTGTTGTCAATAAATGAGCCCCTCAGAAGGGGGTGCTCTTTAATACACAGAAGCTCTGTTTGGACTTGTCTGTACCTGGCTGAGGAGAAACTAAGGCATGGCTCCCCCTTGCCTGAACACTAGGGGACATGCAGCCAGAAGCAGAATGTTCACAGTCAGATTCAAATATATTTTGACTCCATTATTTATGTTCTCACTGTGTATGCAGAAATCCAATTGAAATCAACAGGTGACCATGCACTGAGAGAATACAGGATAGATGTGAGAAGAGAACTTAGTCCTCCACATCAGTAGTACATTTTTGCTTCTTATATGCTGCACTGGTGATTGCATCCATTTTATTATTTGTAGCCAGCGCAGTAATAGGTATAATATAATTCAATTAACTAAGAGTACAAATCCCTGTGATGATAGTGTGCTGCCATGGCATCTGAGCTCCAGTTAGTGGGATAATTAAAATAGAGAATATTCTGTATGCTCAAAACACTCAACCAGCTATCCAAAACAACAGCAATACTGAAATCAAAATGTAGCAAGTCTATCAAAAAGAAGCTTCCAAACAATGCTCACCCAGAAGCTTGGACTTAGTTGGCCTCCCTCTTAACGTAAAAGGAAAACTGCAGTGTTCCAAGGCAATCAGCAAGTGAAATAAGATATCGCACAGTTATTTCAATGATCTGCCTTTGATTCTGTTAGATACTGTGGATTGTTAACTAACCAAATTATATTCAAGTAATTCAGCACCTGCTTAATCAAGCTACAAAATATGGAATTAGATATCGGCCACTTCAACTTCAGTGATTTGATTATGTAGAAGAGAGAGATTGGTGCATATACATCTAATCCTATGAAATTAAATCAGGAAAATTAGCTGAAGATATTCGTAGGGGTCTGTTTGGTGCCTATTTGCATAAAATGTGGAACTACCTACTTATTCAAAGAATTATTTTGTGGTGAGAAGTGAGGATAGAATTGAAGATACGTGTCTATAGTTGTGTTGGGTTAATAGTAAAGAGGCTAGGAGGTACCAAAAGTGTATTCTGATTAAATATAAATCTTGTCTGGGAAAACTGCTTTTGCATTATAAGAGAACTAAAATTTGTGAGTAACAGTCAAGACTCAGAGCTTAAAGGATACAGAGCGTGTCCAATTATCAAACACTGGTTAAGTTAGGTGCCAAAATTTTTCATTTTAGCCCTTAAATCAGCACATAGTCAACCAAAATTCCCATATTTGGTGTCCAAATGTAGTCTTGTTTATAATTTTTGGTATTTTCTAAGTAGACCAATAATAATGGCTTCTCTTTTTGTTTGCAGACATAAAATAAAAATGACTCAGTGAATGACTGTTAAACATAATGTGGGAAAACTCTGTTAAACTCCAGGGTCTGCAAAATCATTAGAATGTAAAATAAGTCGTTTTAGGTATTTTGCAAATAGCATTTACTTTTCTCTTCCATTATGTGGTTTGAGCATTGGCCTGCTAAACCCAGGGTTGTGAGTTCAATCCTTGAGGGGGCCACGTAGGGATCTGGGGCAAAATCAGTACTTGGTCCTGCTAGTGAAGGCAGGGGGCTGGACTCAATGACTTTTCGGGGTCCCGTCCAGTTCTATGAGATAGGTATATCTCCATAAATTATGTCTGTAGCACAAGTCAATACAGTTCTAAATTCCTTGCTTTGTATGGCCTTATTTCTCTTCTAAAATCATTCACTATATATTTTTCAAAAAATAATTTTGTTACATTTTATTAACGTCTGTTGTTGGTGCAGGTTTCTCTTGGACTTTTACATGCTCGTGCTACCCATATCCTGTGGCCTCCAAGGCGCTGGCAGAAGTTACAACCTATGCTGCCTCCAGAACGTACACCACTTCACAGTGATCAAGAATGACCTACATGTACATGATGGAGAAATGAAATATTGATACTAGGATTAACCTTCAAGAGGGGTAGATGGTGTAACAGAACAAATAAGAACACCGATTGTACTATAACAGATACTGCTGCAGCAGAAATTCCCTTATGTTAAGGTGTCACTTTAAATCTAAAGTTTTTCTTTAATCTGTAACATCACATGGTGCATTATTTTGTCTTGGAGTAATTATTCTCTGATTGTGGAGTATTCCAATGTTCAATTTTCCAGAAACAGTAAAATATATGAGCCATTGTCTGTTCTAGTGCTCCTGTTGATAAGACATTATTATAACAGTCTATAAAACTAATCTTTTGCTTTTGATTTGTTTCTTTAACAGCTTGACAGATTCTTGAAAATTAATATTTTGTTAAAAATGCGAAGTCAATCCAGTACTTCATCATTTCAGTTAAGTGTGAATATGTAGAAGCATTTATTCATAATATAACATTTTGAATTGCACTGTATTTGTTAAAATTGAAAAAGCAGCATTTCTGTATATGACAAGCTAATTGTACAATAAGTCCAAAAAAGAATAAAAATGAATCTTTAATCCAGTTATTTTCTTTTTCATTTAATGCATCGTGTTGTTATTATTATTAAATTGAATACATAATAATTTTAATTTATTTTTCATTAATGTTTAATATAAATATTCCTTTTATATCCATTTGTTGAGACAGAGTTCCAAACAAAATATAATACACGTTACGCCACAGCATCTACACAAAATACACTCTATTGGTTTCTTAAGTACAATCACTCAGTGTTAATATTGATTGCCACATTTATTTGGAAATATGTAAAAAGCTCCTTTAATATTATAAACACATTCCTCTACTAATGCACAAAAAAGTTTCCAGAGGCCACATTATCAGTGAAGGGGCCTTGACTGATTTCCATTGACGAGTGACACATTTTCAGTCACAGATTGGTATGAGCCAACTTCATTTCATACATACTGAATTTTACTTCAGAGGGGATAATATTCAGAAGGATTCAACAGCTGGCACCTCTGCGCTAGAGTTATGCAACCTTTCTCATCAGACTCCAAAACAAGGTGAAACTAGGCCTGGTGTTTGGTTTCCGTGCTAAGCTGAACTTCTGAGAAAACTGACGCTAGCTATTCTATTCTATATAGGTTGCGCAGTAACTCCCGCCACTGCTAAATCTACTTACCTACCCCATCTACTTATTATGGCTCCCAGCACTTTGGTATACTTGAACACCATAAACCTGGACCAGGCTCCCCTTCCTTCCGCCAAAGCCTCTCCCCAGTGTGTGACCCCCTCTTTATTAAAACCAATGCGGTTTGCTTGGTTGTTAATTACAGTCAGTCTTTGATTATTTGGATTTATTTAGGGAGACTGAAAACATTGATTTGTAATTCTTCACAAATTAATCAAGAAAACTAGAACAGATTCAAAGAATTTGCCACAGCTATAATTAATTTTAGAGACAAGGACATACAAACATACATTAAAAAAAAAGACGGAGAAGGGGGCAAACAAATAAAAATAAACAAAACTAGAACATGTTACATGAACACCATCTCTGCTGTCAGTCTAGGTCTGTCATTCTTTCTGATCCTCTAGTTCAGTCCCTCCATCTTTATTCGCTTCTTGGGTATCAGCTGGGCAGCAGCTTTCATGTATGTTGACAGGCTGGCAGAGTCCTCTTTGCCCTTTTGGTTCACTGACATCCATTCTTCAGCAATGCCAGGAAGTTGTCAACAGTACTAAAGTCCTTTTAGTTCATGAAAAGCTCCATGATTATCTTAATTATAACATTTCAATTCAAGTCAGTTGCACAGCAGCAAGAAAATTTGATAAGGTTCCTTATTCTTCGTATAGAAAAGAGTAGGAGAGAGTGGCAGAAAGGCAGAGAATGGAGATGGGAGAGATTTTAGGGGATTTAGCAAAGGGTAAAGTAAATTCTGTCCCATAGACTCAGATGTGATATGCTTCAAAACCTCCTGGTATTTAGTTAACTTAATCCCCAATTTATACAACTGAGTTTGGGCAGGCAGACACTTGCACCTGTATGGGGTTGCATTCACTTCAGTGGGACTCATCACATGTATAAGACTCAGCAAGCATGGACCCAACTGTGGTTTTGGGGCCTCAAATACCATCTTCTTGGACCAACACAAGAAACATTCACATTCAAATGAAAGAGCTGAAAATATTTGGTCTTCAGTATATTGATCTTGCTAAGTCTGCAAAACTAGTTCTTGCAAAAGAAAAATGCTCTGCTATATCTTGGCACCAGATAAATGTGGGTAACATATTCCCTTATGCCCCAATGCAAGTGATGACCAGAGATCATTCACAGCATGACACAAAACTACAACTGAGGCCACTTAATATGACTAAATTCACATCACTGAATGTGAAGGTTCGACAAAGTCACACACAGCAGCAGCCACAACAGCACAGAGACATAAAAAATGGTAGGTTCCTTCACCCTGGCCATGCCTCAGCCTTTTCTCGTGCAGCAGACTTGCACTGGTTCCACTACACAGAGGAGGGGGCTGGCTGGGGTTGTCCCTATGGGCCCAGTCAAGCCACCATGAAGTCCATAAGAGTTTTGCCATTGACTTAAATGAGATTAGGACTAGACCCTCAATTATTGGGGAAATACCCATAATATTACAACAGTAGAAGAAAAATACTTACGTAGAACTTAGTTTCTTTCTGTGCAGGGAGCCACATAAGTGCCCTCAATAGGTTACTTCAACCACGCATTCCTTCTCCTCTGTGCACCTCCCTATTATGCAGCATTGCTACTCTGGCCTGGTGCTGAGTTCTGGATTTCAGCCACAGCGAAAGACAGGCTATACCAGCCAAGCTATCCAGGCATTGGTACTACTGGCAAACATGAGCAGCAAGATCTGAGGCTGACAGAATGAAATTATATACAGCCACAATGCACCAATACACTGAAAGGAAGCAACAAAGAAACTGGAGAGCAGGTGCAATGTATTGTATTGGTGCTCTTAATTAGTCTTTCAGGATTTCCCTGCAACAGCGAGACCTGAACTGTCAGAGCAGACAGAGCAAGCTCCCTCTTACAGTCATTCTTCCTGTAACGTACCTAGAAATGTAGCAACAAAGTTTAGAATAGCATTTCACAAAGCACCATGTGTTCGGGGTTGAAGCCTGTGCTGGATACAGGAAGAATTCACACAGTGGTAAGAGGTCAGTGCAGCACTAGAAGCGGCAACATAGGGCCCAGTAGCAACACACGGTACTTTAATAAATAATGGTTTACTCCACTGCTACCTGGTTCCTGAAGCATTAACACTAATGGAATACCACTCACCTATCAGGCAGCAGCGACCACTGCACCTACATACAAACTACGCTAGCACTAAACAGGAAAATCAGTTACTGTCGTGCTGAATATTTGTCGTTGAGTTTTCTTTCACGAGTTTTTTTTTTTCAGATTTCCCCCCCCCCCCCCCCCCCCCCCCCCCAGAAAAATTCATAAAGAATGTAAGCTGTGTGCAAAGAGCATTCTCCGTGTTTTTCAGAAACAAACTACGGAAGGAATAACTCACAGAGGTCACATACTGTACTGTAAGTGCATGGAGTCAGAATCTAGCCACTGGTTGGCTAGACTGCTGGCACAAGCCCTTTGATCTTATGCTATAGCCCTGAGTGTCTCCTTACCTAGTGTATCAATGATACTGTTTGGCATATTTTACAAATATTTCAGCCACAGAAAAATTACTAATCCATCCTGTCACTAGCCAGTGTTCCACCTTGTGTGGCCTATTCAATTACTTGCACAAGGTCACAGAGAATGGCTGTGACAGAGCTAGGTATTAAACCAAGATTTCCTGGATTTCAGACCACGGTCTTAATTGCAAGACTATTCAGCCCGCTGGGGAGGTAACTATTGCAGATTGCTCAAGCCCCTTATGCCAGTTTGCTGAAGGAATGAAATGATGCTTTTCAGTGGTATGGTTTCTATTGGCACACACCCTGGGGGGTTTTCATCTTCCTTTGCAGCACGGGTCACTTGCAGATTTAAACTAGTTTAAACTAATGGTGGATTCTCTGTAACTTGATGTCTTTAAACCATGATTTGAGGACTTCAGTAACTCAGCCAGCGGGTCAGGGTCTCTTACAGGCGTGGGTGGGTGGCATGCAAAGTGCAGGAGGTCAGACTAGTTGATCACAATGGTCCCTTCTGACCTCAAAGTCTATGACAATATACCACTGTTTAAAAATGTACTGCAGTTGCTCTCAGAGTAAAGGACTTAGGAAAAGTCCTTCATCCAGAAATAACCAAACTTATACTATATGGCAGCGGTTGGCAAACTACGGCTTGTGGGCCAGATCCGGCCCGTCAGAGCTTTGGCTCCGGCCTGTGGGATTGCCACCCCCGTGGCGCTGCGGGGCTAAGGCAGGCTCCCTGCCTGCCCTGGCCCCACGCCGCTCCAGGAGGCAGCTGGCACCATTTCCCTGCGGCCCCTGGGGGTGGGGGGGCAGAGGGCTCTGCTGGGAATGGGGAACCGTGGCCAATGGGAGCATCAGGGGAGGTACCTGCAGGCGAGGGCAGCGCACAGAGCCCTCTTCCCACCCCCCCCAGAGGCCTCAGGGATGTGGTGCCAGCTGCTTCCCGGAGCGGCGCGGGGACAAGGCAGGCAGGGAGGATGCCTTAGCCTCGCTGCGCGCCACTGCCACCCCGGAGCCACTCAAGGTAAGTGGCGCCAGGCCAGAGCCTGCACCCCGAACCCCTCCCACACCCCAACCCCCTGCCCTGAGCCCTCTAACCCCCTGCCGCACCCCTCCTGCACCCTAACCCCTGCCCTGAGCCCCCGCAGCACCCCACACACCTCCTGCACCGTAATCACTTGACCTGAGCCCCTTCCTGCACACCGCACCCCCTCCCACACCCCCTCCGCCCCCTGCCCCAGCCCTACATTCATGGCACTGCATGCAATTTCCCCACCCAGATGTGGCCCTCGGGCCAAAAAGTTTGCCCACCCCTGCTATATGGCGTCTCAGCCAACCATCTCTAAGAAGCCTGGGTCGAAACCTTTAAGTGCTTTAAAGCTTGAGTTTCAAGGTAAGAAAAGAGGCTAGATGCTGGTGGGGAGAGTTGAGCTTGGCATACATACTGGATTTTGTTACTGAATGTTGTAGTAAATTTGGTGTCAAATTTTTAAAACTAACCTTTCCTGGTGAGTGTCAATTTTTTTAATTAAAAAAAAAGTTGTGTTGCCTGGAGCCGTGGTGCTCAGCCTTAACAGTTAGACAATGAAGGTTTTTATATTTTGTTTTGCTTGCAAATTTACTATCTTACAAGGTAAATCAGCACCACTGTCACTCAGGAGTCACCTTGTAAGCTAGTAGAGCAGAGATTTGCATGGTGAGTATTGCCAGTAAGCAAGCATTTTTTCTGTCCAAAGTTGTTTTTTGCTGGACTTTGTAATATTTTTGTGGGCTACTTTACTAACTTTTAACAGCTCAAAACCGGGACTTCAAAATTTTTATTTAAAAAAAACAAAAAAAAAACCAGCAGCTATTTCTTCATCTTGTG